CTCTTCGAGTAAAGCTCTGGAGATCGCCTCGCCTATCGAAAGCCATCAGCGCACCAGGGGAGTGCTTGATTCGACCAGCCGGTTGAGCGACGCGGAGAGCTGGTGACGCAACAACTCTGTGTGCTCCGTGCTTCGGCCAGCCTGTGCGAGCCTCACCTCCTGCAGCCCGGAGCGGCGGACTGGGGCCAAGCAAGTAGCAACGACCAAGCCTCAGAGCGGGGGAAAGGGTGCATGTGAGAGGCCCCCAGATGGGGTCGGGGTAGACGGGGTCGGAGGATCGCGCCGCATCGCTGCTACATCGGCGATGCATCGGCGATGCAGGGGCGATGCATCGTCGACGTGGGCGATGCGTCGGCGACGTCGACGTGAAGCAAATCGGGCTCCACGTCGAGCCGCACCGGCGATGCATTGGCGATGCGGCGCGATCCTCCGACCCCATCTGCTCCGACCCCGTCTGTGAGGCCTAGACTTCGGTCGGGCATGCCCTCCTACAGGCGGATTTTGGACGAACAATTGAAAAGAGTGAACCATACTCCAAGATAGCAGCACCGAAAAGTAGTCGAAGAATCGTCCCCAGACTATTGCTCTGCACTCGTGGGATGCTCTCCCTGCAAAGGGGACCTGCCCGACTCAGGCCTCGACGTGCGCAGCCCGACGCCCACACCTCCGACGACCTGCTCTCCTCCGGCGGCCTCCGCTCCTCGACCTCCTCCGGCGGTCCGCGGGCCGTGGCCTCGGGCCCCGGGGCAAGGGCGCTGGCGCCGCGCCCAAGGGCCCAGACCTCCGACGACCTGCTTCCAGGCAGGGCGTGCCCTCCGCTCCTGCAGGCAGGGCAAGCAGGAGGCAGCCCAACGCTGTTCAACACACAATCAACACACAGTCTGAAGAACCGTCCCCATTCTTGAATGTTCCGCCCGTGGAGGGACGTGCCCCACTGGAACCCGCCTGTCTCCAGCGGCGTCGTGTCCTTGATCTGGCCCCCGGGGGGGCCGCTGTCGGGACCCCGGAGCCACGAAGATAGACACGGGGCGGAACACGGGCCCCGTCGAAGAAGAAACCGCTGCGTAAACACCAACTGTTTCCGCTCCGCGCGGATTTCTTGGATCTGTGCTGGGACCCACTCCTCCTCCTCCTCCTCCTCCTCCCCCTCCTCCTCCTCCTCCTCCTCCTCCTCCTCCTCCTCCTCCTCCTCCTCCTCCTCCTCCTCTCCTCCTCCTCCTCCTCCTCCTCCTCCTCCCCCTCCTCCTCCTCCTCCTCCTCCTCCTCCTCCTCCTCCTCCTCTTCCTCCTCCTCCTGGCGCGCGGAACGCGCCAGGGGGGGCGGCGCCGGAGGCGCCGCCGGGAGGCGGCTGCAGCGCTATGATTATGCAATTGCTTCTTCTTCGACCCAGGGGGAACGGGTCGTGACCTCTGGGGCCCAGAGTGGGGACGGGATGCCGCCTGGCAGACGAGACAGCAGACGAGACCTGCTTTCTCCAGCTCGCACCGAATTGACAGCGATGTCTCCCCAGCGCCTGGCGGACGAGCTTTGTCTGACCGGCGCAGCGAATTTGCGGGTGGGTTCGTGCAGGGGGGCCGCGGGCACGTGGGCCTCACCCCGCGTTCATTACTGATGGGCCTGTTTTCCACCACCACCATAAGTTGGAGGGGGGAAGGAGGAGGAGGAGGAGGAGGAGGAGGAGGAGGAGGAGGAGGAGGAGGAGGAGGAGGACCCCCTCATCCTCCAACTTATGGTGGTGGTGGCGGAAAACAGGCCCGTACATTACAGAGCAGATGCAGCGACAGACGCCCCCTGCGTAGCAGTCGGCCCAGGCCCTGTGGAGGCGCTGCTGGCCCTCTCCCGACTGCCCCCTTGCCTCCGATCTGCGCTCTCTCTCTCTCTCTCTCTCTCTTTCTCTCCCTCTCTGTCTGTCTGCTTGTCTCCCGTCGCTCTTTTCTGCTACCATCTGAGGTGGTGGGCACGGCTCAGGCGTTGCTCACAGTAGGGGCCCGACCACAAGACACCTTCCACAAGAAACACAACCCTGAGACCCCAGGACGTCCATCGAGTTTTGGCGTGGGAACGTCACGATTTCCATGGCGAAACCCTCGGAACCCAAGAAACTCAGTGCGCCTTGGAGAAGAGCAGGGTGTTTCTTGGCATGGGCCTCCACTGTAATGGGGGGGGCCAGAAGCGGGGAGACGAAGAGACGTGCACATGTTGTGCCCCTTGTTGGCCCCCGTGGCCCCCAACGGTGCAGAAAAAGGTACACCACCCCACACCCCTCGCCCTCCGATTACGCAACGCCCGAGCACAGCGCCAGCCCTGCGTCCCTGGGGGGCTTTCTGACCTCCTGATCGCCCCAAGTATTTCCAGGGCTCGCACGTAGACGCCGCCCGCCGACCAACCAGCCGTTCAGGGAGCCAGGAGACGTTCGTTCTGCCATGTCTGTGGGCAAGCGTACGACGTCCAATGATTTGGGGATGAGTCCACCAAATCACACATGTATGAACACGCATCGGTTCGCGTGTACTTCTTGCAATCACAAGCTGGCTTGAGGTTTTTACCAATGTGCTCCCTCACGGAACTGAGGGCAGTGTACTTCTCGCCCTATAAACAATCGCTGCAACGCATTGTCAGACTGAGTGCCAGGTCTCGTTCGTGGCAGTCGGGCTTGGGGAAGTGCCAATCTGACACAAGCAATCGTCATCAACGGCAGTCGTGCTAGGAGAAGACTGGAACTGGCAAGCCTCAACAAACATGTATAGTAAAGAACGAACGACCAACATTAATCGATTACCAGCACGGCACCAGTACGCACCAATAGCAACAACCCTCAACCCGTTCCACTTACCGGCCCAAAGCAACCAAACTCGATTGTCATTGCCGAAGCGTGCTTGCAACTGTGTGCATATGTTAGCGTTTGCTTGCGCTCGCTTGTTGTAACACATACACGCCTGTGGTCGCATGTATATGCACATGCTTGCCCCTGCGTGCGCTCTGGATGCCTACAACTGGTTGTACGCGTCTCTACATTCGGTAACGATACATACTACAGCACCCACATATTGGACTTCACGCGACTTCACGTCCTTGCTTAACCCATCGCCGAGATCTTAGCTAAACGCACAATAAAAGACTGACCACTCCTTCAGGTGATCACTAACAATGGTTCACAGTTGCGGCCGATCCCTCGAGGGCGGAGTATGGAAAAAAACGAGCCAAACACGATCCAACATATAATCAAACAACATCAAAACACGTCCCCAAGCTAATTTTCGAATGTGTTTGAATATTCCTCCTGTAGAGGGACATGCCCGACTCCACCCTAGAGACCTCCGAAGATTTACTAAAAAGCGGCAAGCCGAGCCCGAGAGTACAGGAACAACCGGGAGGCATAAACATGATTGCCGAAGCTCCGCGGGGTTGTCTTGGATCGGCGCTGGACACCGCTCGCTGTCGCGCGGAGCGCGCCAGGGGCGGCGCTGGAAGCGCCGCCAGGGGGGCCCAGCGACAGGCCAGAAGATCCGCGCGGAGCGCCACAAAATTATGTGTACGGGCCTCTTGCGTTCCGGCTCCCAAGGTTCACGAGAAAGCCACAGGCCGAGCCCAAGGATGGCCCAGCACTGTGCGACCGACATAACATACGTTCCAGGACCTCCAAGGGTATCTAGCGGCCCACGTTTCTGGAGCCCGTGCGGAACAATCGGCCATCGTCAATGTCTTGGGCATTTGGGGGCCATCGTCAATGTCTTGGGCATTTGGGAAATCTGGGAACATAGCGTTATCATGAGTTGTGGTTTCTCCGAAGCACCCTCAAAAGATGGACCCGGGGCCAGGCCGAATCCGCCCCACCGCCGCCCCCTGCAGACAGCAACAAGACTTTGCCAGTAAAGCACCGCGACCTCGTCAGGCAGCGCTGCGGTTTGGTCGGGCACGTCCTTCTACAGGCGGATGTTGGAAGAGGAATGTAACACAGCCAAGCAATGCTCAACGAAACGAATCAACACATCCTCCCCTAACTATTTGATTACTATTTCTGACTACTCCTCCTGTGCTGTGGAGTGACATGCCCGACTTAACGCTGCGGCCGCCCCCCAGAGGTGGGCCTCTCTGGCCCAGGGGGCCCATGGCAACCTTCGAGCATGAGGGGCAAGGACAGGGGGGGACTGGGATAGGGGGGGAAACATCGACCCGAAATCGGCGATACATCGCCGACACATCGCCGACAGGCCCCCCCCCCCATAGCGAATCCGCACGTTCCTAGGCAGGTTGGCCCCGATCGGCGATCAATGGGCGATTGGGGGTCGATGCATCCACCCCTATGTCTATCCCCCCTGTCTTTGCCCATGAGAGCAACAAATTGCAACACATTGGCCTTGAGCCGTCTTGAAGGCGATTGAAGGGAGGCGAAGTGGGCCCAGAGGAGCGATGTGTACGCCCCACCCCCACCCCCCGTCCAAGCCAGGAAGGCATATACATTCTGTTCCTGGGCCCAGGAGGGGCCTGGCCGGCGGTGGTGGATCTGTGTAGATCTCGTCACCCGCTTTTCTCCGGATGACGCGCCCCTGTTCGAATTGCCAGAGAAACACCAGCAATAACTACGAGAAGCAACAATGTCTGCACAACAGCTTCCGCAAACTACGATAATGTCTCGTCGACCTATCTTGAGCTGCCCCCTGACCCCCTTCGGGCCTCATCTCTCGGGAGCGGCCAAGAGGGGGGTGTCCAAGAGGGGGGGGTGCAAATCATGACCGGCGGCATGTGCGCGGCCCAGCGGCGGGGCCTGGGCCGTAATGAAATACGAAGAGGCGTCATGAAATCTGAGGAAAAATCATGGCCCGCGCCATGAAATCCCCCCCCCTAGTCATCACCCCCCTCTTTTCCGCTCCCGACCTTCGGGCCTCATCTCCTTTTCGATTGGTAGCCGGGCGAGGGCGAACCGACCTCCGACGGGGTGGCGTGTAGCCGATGGTGGATCACAGAAGATTGTACGTAGCGGCGTCTGGCCGCCGCGGCGCTCACTCCACCTCCAGGTCCAAGAGCTCCTCGGAGACGCTGGTCAGCTCGTGGGAGTGGATGTCCCTCCTCGAAGAAGGGAGCACATAAAAGCGCAAACTGCCAGAGGTCCGCGCGAACCCCTTCCCTGACTCTCACCGCGACTCAGACTCTCAGATGTGCAGACCGCACCTCAGACCCGGGCTTATCTCTAAGGTGCGTTCAACGGTCAAGTTTGGGCCCTGTGCCTAAGTAGGGCTAAGGCACCCTGAGCTTGGGCCAGACCGAACTCTAGGGCCCCAACTGAAGCACAGTCTAAGGCGGACGGACGCCTCCCCTCCAGGCTTTTAGGTTGTTCATCAAAACTTAACGGTTCGCATCAACAAGTTCGTGCGCACGGTCATCAACGTGGCACAATTTCGACGCGCTGCTGGCATCCGCATTCTAAAGGCGACCAACACACCTTTAGATTAGGGCGCGCGCGCCATATATTCATGTAGGCCGCGCTTCAACGTGTTCTGCTCTAGTCTTCCAGCGCCCGTGCGCCCCAGACTCCTGAAGTTAGGAATTTGAGGGGCCGCAAGCGCAAGGGCTGGCTCGGCGCTGGACCTCCCTCCTCTGGCGCGCCCGGCGCGCCAGGGGCGGCGCCCGAGGCGCCACCAGGGGTGGGCCCAGCGCGGACACAAACAAAAGCAGCGCGGATCTCCGAGCATCTGTTTTCTTCCAGGTCAACTAGCTTCCCGCATCGCGCCTGGCGATACGCGGTCATCCTCCCGCCCCCGCCCCCGTTCCTGGCGAAAGGCAGCTTCCTGGCCCAGACCGCGACGCGCGAAGGGTGATTGTCTCCGTGCCCCCGGGGCTGACCCAGTGGATGCACGGCGGGCTCGTGTCTTTGCGACCCTGGCGCTGGTTTCTGACAAAGCGCTGATCCTTCAACCCCGAACCATCGGCGCCTTCTCGATGGCCTGGATCGGTCCATACAGCCAACCCGTATCATATGGACGCGCGGTAAGGATGCAAGGGGCCTTGGAAGGCCCATGTGAACGTCTTTCGAATGGGGCCGGCCAGCGAAAGTCGCCAAGGATGGGCCGAAGGGGCAAGGATGCAAGGGAGGGGCACCCTTAGGCCCTTGGAAAGGTTGCCCATCCTTACTATGCGGGTTGCCTGAAGCAGCCGATCCCATGCCGCCGCCGGCGTTCAGTCGTTTGAAAGCCCGCGGTGTGCTCGCTGCCGCGTCGGCACGGCACCAACCTGCCGCACGTGTGTGCCCTGGAGCCTGGAGGCTCTGGGAGTCGGGAGCACAATACAGGGTCAGCTCTCTTGACCCGCCTCCTCTCCCCCTCTCTTTCGCCCCGTGGGGAAGAGGAGGGGGGAGGCGGAGAGCCAAGAGAGCTGACCTGTACAGTGTTCTCCTTCTCCCGGGCTCCCCCAGCGGCCCCTGGCTCAAACCATCGACGTCGGCGCTGTTCCCACGGGCCACGGCGGCTCTCGGGGGCCACTCCGTGGCCCCACGTCCGCGCGACCCCCAAACAGAAGCCGACCACGACGGCCATCCGCTATGCGATCCCAATCCACGGGCACGTCGGCCAGGGCCCGCTTGCTTTCGGTCTGGCATGCCCTCCTACAGGCGGGCTTTGGGAGGAAAGCGAAACATAGCCGAGGCACACGCACACAACAAATATTCAAACACAGAACAGGAGTCCCCCGACAATGTTCGGACTATTTCTGAATATTCTTCCTGTAGAGGGACATGCCCGACTGAACACGTGCTGGCCCCTCCGAGGCTCCCCCCGCGGCCCCTGACCAACGCCCGCGTGGGGTCGCTGCGGCGTCGGCAACACGCGAATCCACCGTGAGCACTTGTTTTTTTTTGGTGGACTCACAAAGTACAGTTAGGTCGGGCAGGCCCTCCTTCAGAAATAGCGACAAATAGTTACAACATCGTCCCCAGACTATGGTTTGACTATCTTTGAAGATTTCTCCTGTAGAAGGGCATGCTCGATTTCAAAGTACAGACACCGCTTCTTCCCGGACCTCTCCCGGGGTGCGTTCTGAACAGACTGTCGAGGAAAATCCAGCCGTGGCGACGAGGGCCTCCCGGGAGGTACAACACGGATCAAACGAGGGAAGGGTAGCAAACGAGGCAAAGATCATGGCTGCAGCCCCAAGCCTGATCTTCCTGCGGCATTGTTGTTCGAGCCGCATCGATCTGGGATGGCCCCGAAGAGCAGCACCCCGTCGAAAACGCCCGTTGTGAAAAGAATTGCGCCACCCAGCCTGCTAGATGGGTCGGAGTAGATGGGGTCGGAGGATCCCGCCGCATCGCCGATGCATCGGCGATGCACCATGCGATGAATCGTCGACGTGGGTGATGCGTCGGCGACTTCGACGTGGAAGAAATCGGATCTCACATCGAGCCGCATCGCCGGTGCATCGGCCATGCGGCGCGTCCCTCCGACCCCATCTGCTCCGACCCCATCTGGGAGGCCTCGACTTTTCCTTGTCTGATTGTCTGCCCCTCAATAAGTTGTGATGCGTCCGAAACATCCTGTGGTGTTGAGTCTTCGTTTTGAAGAGGCAGCAGGGCGCGTTCCTCCTCTCCTCACCTGTCCTCTCCTCTCCCCTCCTCCTCCTCCCCCTCCTCCCTCCTCCCATCATGCTTTTCATCTGAATCATATCATCATCATCATCATCATCATCATCACCATCACCACCATCACCATCACCATCACCATCACCATCACCATCACCATCACAATCACCATCACCATCACCATCACCATTATCATCATCATCATCATCAGCATCATCAGCATCAACAGTATCGTCATCAGCAGCATCAGCATCAGCATCAGCATCAGCATTAGCATCAGCATCAGCATCAGCACCAGCATCATCATCGACATCGTTATCGTCATCATCATCAACATCATCATCAACATCATCATCATCACCATCATCATCACCCTCACCGTCATCATCATCCTCATCCTCATCATCACGATCGTCACCGTCATCGTGATCATCATCGTGGCACAGGTCTCAGCGGCGTAGTTCGCATGCGTCTCCCCCACGCAGTAAAATGTTTCGTGGTCCCATAGGGAGCTCCACTGACGGTCCCAGTGGCGCAGATCTCATGCGTCCACTCCCAGTACATTGTTTCGTGTGGCCCAAGATGGATCTCCACCAAAGGTCCCAGTGGCACAGCTCGCATGCGTCTCCCCCACCCAGCGCAGCGTTTCGTGGCCTCGGAGGGGGCCCCACCGAAGGTCGCAGTGGCGCAGTTCGCATGTCTCTCCCCAACCCAGTGCAGTGCTTCGTGGCCCCACAGGGAGCTCCGCCGAATGTCCCAGTGGCGCAGTTCGCATGCGTCTCCCCCGCCCAGTACAACTTTTCGTGGCCCCATAGGACGCTCCACCGAAGGTCCCAATGGCGCAGATTGCATGCGTATCCCCCGCACCCAGTACAGCGCTTCGTGGCCTCGTTGGGAGCTCCACCGAAGGTCGCAGAGGCGCAGTTCGCATGCGTCCCCCCCCCGCCCAGTACAGCGTTTAATGGCCAGATAGGCAGCTCCTCCGGAGGCCCAAGTGACACTGTTCGCATGCTTTCCCCCCACCCAGCACAGCGTTTCGTGGCCCCAGAAGGGAGCTCCGACGAAAGTCCCAGTGGCGCAATTCCTGTGTCTCTACCTCACCCAGTACAGCGTTTTGTGGCCCCAGACGGGGGCTCTACCGAAGGTCGCAGAGGCGCAGTTCGCATGTCTCACCCCCACCCAGTACAGCGTTTCGTGGCCCCATAGGAAGCTCCACCGAAGATCGCAGTGGCGCAGTTCGCATGCGCCCTTCCCCGCCCAGTGCAGCACTTCGTGGCCCCATAGGGAGCTCCACCGAAGGTCACAATGGCGCAGTTCGCATGCGTCTCCCCCGCCCAGTACAACGTCTCGTGGCCCCAGGAGGGGACCCCACCGAGGGTCCCAATGGCGCAGATCGTATGCGTCTCCCCCGCCCGGTGCAGCATGTCGTGGCCCGAGAACGAGCCCACCGAAAGCCCCAGTGGCACCGCCCGCATGCTTCACCCCCATCCAGTACAGCGCTTCGTGGCCCCATGAAGACCTCCACTGGAGGCCCCAGTGGCTGAAATCGCATGCGTTTCCCCCACCCAGTACAGCGCTTCGTTGCCCCATAGGGTTATGTTGCTCCCATCGCACTTGAAGACCACTTCCCCGAAATAACTTCGAGCACCCGGAAAAGTGTCGAAGGGGTGTCGAATCAGTGTTGCGACAGTGTCGGACGAGTGTCTCCCAGGGCCCGACACGTGGAAACCCTCGAGTTTCGGTACTTTTTTCTGGTGCTCGAAATTCTTTCTGGTGATCAAGGCTAAAATATGTTGGAACATCAAAACCATAGGGAGCTCCACCGAAGGCCCCGGAGGCTGTCCCGCCTCATTGCGGCGCACCCCTCATACATTCCGCGGCCCCGTAGTGCGTTCCGCCTGAATCACCAGTGGCAGCGAACACATGACGGCCCCGCCGCACATCGGCACACCTTTCGCATGCTTCATGACCCCATGAGGAGATTCCCCGAAGGCGATACAAGCATCGACGGTACTCACAACTGCATAACGTTGCGTCCCTCGCCAAGATCATTTCAATAAGCGGTTCCTGGAATTCTCGACCCCTTCCCCAGGACCGGCCTTTCATCCTGAACCGTTCTCCGACGGCCCGGAGGCCTGGCGAGGGCCCCCAGGGCCCGAACTCTGCGAAAGACCTCTGCCTTGCTTTTTTCAATGCGTTGAACCTCTTTCGGGAAGACGTGAGACTCGGGTACGGGGGACCCGGGTTGGCCTGACGGGGCCACCATGAAAATGACGAGACCAAGTCTGAAATTTGACGCGAGCTCCCGCTGCAGACATCCCACGAAAACTGGACCGTCAGAATCCGGGACGCGCTCGTCACAGAACGTCCGCGGACCCGAGTCCCGGCTTACTTAACCAGCCTCGAACGTATCCCTAGCCCTAAGATGGGCGAGCAAAAAGCGAGGACAATCTTAGGGGTAGGCCCTCAGAAACTGAGGGAATCCTGGAGATCGGCATCGAGGTGAGGTGATGTCAAACATACAGTCATCGGCCTGACCTAAGGAACGATACATCAGGAACGAATCCCCTTTTTTTATCCCAAGGAGTAACGCCTAAGGAACGATGCGTAACATATATAACGCATAGAGGAACTGTACATAGCGCATGTAAGATTCTGAGGAACGGCCGAGCCCCTTTTGAGAAGCAAGTGCTCCGTATTCAAGCCGCTCACTGTAGGGATAGGGGTATGTTTCCTCCTCCTCCTCCTCCTCCTCCTCCTCCTCCTCCTCCTCCTCCTCCTCCTCCCCCCTTCCTGCTCCTCCTCATGCTCCTCCTCCTCCGACCCTCTGCCCCCTTCCCGAGGGCTCCCCCGGCGGCCCCGCGCGAGCGCCGCCGCCGCCGCCACGAGCGCCAGGGCGGCGCCGAGGCCCGCGGCCGCGCCCCAGGCGAGCTGCGGCGAGGGGGAGGAGGCAGGCAGGAGGAGGAGGAGGAGGAGGAGGAGGAGGAGGAGGAGGAGGGGGAGGAGGAGGAGGAGGAGGAGGAGGGGGGAGGAGGAGGGAGAGGAGGGGAGGAGGAGGAGGGGAGGAGAGGAGGAGGAGGAGGAGGAGGAGGAGGAGGAGGAGGAGGAGGAGGAGGAGGGTGGAGGACGAGGAGGAGGAAGAGGAAGAGGACGAGGAAGATGATGAGGAGGAGGGAGAGGAGGGGGAGGCGGAGGAGGAGGAGAAGGAGGACCGTGTGGCGCGCGGCGGGCAAGGCCGCGGCACCGCCGGGCAGCTGCTCGGCGAGGTCCATGTCGTCCCAGTCGTCGTCGTCGTCGTCGCCGCCCCAGCCGTCCTCGGAGTCGTCCTCGGGCGCCCCCCAAGGAAAAGAGGGGACGCGTGCCGCACCCCTGAGATCTGGGCGATCCACTGCTCCAGACTCCAACGGGACGCACAGAGACATGCTAGTACTATATGTCCTCCTTGGCGGCGCGCGTCCGGCCCGAACATATAGGATGCCCATCTTGTGGTATGTCGTTACCCGAGCGGTGTGGCCAGACATCGCCCGCCTCTGGGTCCCCCTGGCGGCGCCTCCGGCGGCGCCCCTGGCGCGCTCCGCGCGCCGGGGAGGGGGGTCCGGCGAGGATCCAGGAAATCCGCGCGGAGCGCCACAAATCCCACCAGCCCTCTGGGCGTAGGTGGTTCCGGGAGTCCCACCAGCCCTTTGGGCGTGAGTGGTTTAGAGAGCCCGCTCTGTCCTCAACCCCCCTTCTTCCCCTTCGGGGAGGGGTTTACCCCTCCCCCTACCCCCTCCCCCTGGACCTGGACAGGAGGCCCGGCGGGTCGTCAGGGGGGTCAATTTCGACTCCTGGGAGGGCCAAAAAACGACGACCCTCACGAGGATTCTGGCCCCGACGGGGGGACGGAGATAGGCCACTCTGCTCTTCTTTGAAGCCAGAATCATTGATTTTACTACGGTTTTGGCCCCACTTTGGCGTCCTGAGGGGGCCGCGCTCATCTTCCTTCATAGCAAAATCATTGATTTGACGAAGGTTTTGGGCTCATTTTGTCCTTCTCAGGGGGCAGCTTTCATTTGCGCTTCTGAGGAGGTCGCAAGAGGCCCCCCAAGATGGCCCCAAGAGGCCCCCAGGAGGCTCCCAAGAGGCCTCCAAGAGGCCCCCAAGAGGCCCCCAAGCGGCCCCAAGAGGCCCCCAAGAGGCCCCCAAGAGGCCCCCAAGAGGCCTCAAGAGGCCCCAAGAGGCCCCCAAGAGGCTCCCCAGAGGCCCCCAAGAGGCCCCCAAGAGGCCCCAAGAGGCTCCAAGAGGCCCCCAAGAGGCCCCACGAGGAGCCCGAACGACTCACACCCGGACGAGGGGCCCGAACGACTCACACCACGAAGAGCCCGAACGACTCACACCAGGAGGGGCTCGAACGACTCACACCAGGACGAGGCGCCCGAACGACTCACACCACGAGGAGCCCGAACGACTCACACCAGGACGAGGGCCCCGAACGACTCACACCACGAGGAGCCCGAACGACTCACACCAGGAGGAGGAGCCCGAACGACTCACACCAGGACGAAGGGCCCGAACAACTCTCACCACGAGAAGCCCGAACGACTCACGCCAGGACGAAGAGCCCGAACGACTCAAGCCACGACGAAGAGCCCGAACGACTCACACCAGGAAGAAGGGCCCGAACGACTCACACCAGGACGAGAGGCCCGGAAATATGCGGGGGCAGACGGAAACACGCCTGAAAAACACGACTGTCGGCATGCTTCGCAAGAGTTGCTGTTTTGAGATGGGCTGGTGGGGATACGCGAAGCGTGAAGAATTCCCTCTTCCATCTTCCCTTCTTCCCCTTCGGGGAGGGGTTTACCCCTCCCTAACCCCCTCCCCTGGACCTGGACGGGGGGTTTCGCTGGTAGTTGGAGCGTCCAAACCGGCCTCGGCGAGGAAGCCAAAATCATCGGTTTTACTAGGGTTTTGGCCGATTTGAGAGGCTCCCGAAGGGGGGAGGCTAATTGGGGGACCCCCTTCCTTTGATCGATCACCTCCAAGATGGCCCCAAGAGCGCTCCCAAGGCTCCCAAGAGCGCCCAAAAGAGGGCCTCAAGAGGCGCCCAGGAGGCCCCAAGAGGTCCCCAAGAGGCCCTGAAGAGGCTCCCTAGACCCCCAAGAGGCCTCAAGAGGATCCCCGAGGCATCCAAGAATCCCCCAGGCGCTCCAAGAGGACTCCAAAACAACTTCCAAGGGACATCCTAGGAGGCTCTTGTGCACGTCATTGTTCTTGTTCCTTCTCATCTTTCTCCTCCTCCTCCTCCTCCTCCTCCTCCTCCTTGTCGGCCTACTCCTCCTCCTTCTCCTCCACTTCATCAGCCTAATCCTCCTCCTCCTCCTCCTTTCCTCCTCTCTTCCTCCCCCTCCTCATCCTCCTCCTCCTCCCCCTCCTCATCATCATCCGCCTATTCCCCCTCCTCCCTCCTCCCTCCTCCCACTTTTCCCACCTGCTGCCCCTCCTCCCCCTCCTCCTCCTCCTCGTGGTCCTCCGACTCCTCCTCCATCCTCGCCCTCTTGGGTAAGACGGGTCACCCAGCCCTTTGCTACTCTGTATGCTCCCTCACTTCCCTGATCACCGCAATTCGCCTGGGCATCGTTTTGGGATGGGCTGGTGGGGATACTTTTTTTGTTCGGCGGCTCGAAGGACAGATCCAGCGAGCGGGAATAACGTTCTGGGGCACAGAGCGAGATAATTGGCTGCAGAGGCACGTAGGCCGCTGTAGCGAGTGCACGGCAGGCTGGTGGGGATACGCGAAGCGTCAAGAAATTACGGTTATGCCTTCTCTTCTTCGAAGAAAACACAAAAGATGCCGCAATCCCTGAGATCTGGGCGATGAGCTGCTGGTTTCACACTGGCCGCTTTGGCCCGGATGTTCGGGCCCTGGCACCGCCACGGACCGATCCGGCGCGAAAAACATGCTACAGAAAGATGGGGACTTTACAATGCCCTGGCCGTGACTTTCCGCTTTCCGGCATTTTTGCTGGCTGGAAGCCTCCTCGATGGGGTCAAATTATATGGGATTGGAGGATCGTTCTGCGTCGCCGATGCATCGGCGACGCCAGCGCGGAGAAAATAGGCCCCACATCGAGCCGCATCGGCGATGCATCGGCGAAGCGGCGCGACCCTCCGACCCCATCTACTCGGACCCCATCAAGAGAAGAAGGAAAAGCACGTAAACATAAACTTTTGGCGCTCCGCGCGGATATCTTGGATGCGCGCAGGGCCCCCCTCCCTGGCGCGCGGAGCGCGCCAGGCGCCGGAGGCGCCGCCAGGGGGGCCCAGGCGCGGATCCAAGAAATCCGCGCGGAGCGCCAAAAGTTAGTGTTCATTTGTTTTTTTGTTTTTAAAGTGCTTACACTGAAGGGGTCCTAGCGGAAGTTGAAAAATTAGGCGAAAACTTCCGGCCGAGTTTGGTAGCAGGCTGGGTTCCCGGGTTCCCCGTTACTGGCTCCGGGCCGATTTCGATATAGGTTCTGGGCTCCCGGGCTCCCGGGTTCCCGGTCGATTTCCCCAGCGAAGACCACCCCCTGATTGGGGGTTCTCCCTGGTGTCATTTGTTTGTTTTTCTTCGAATCTACTCCTTACTCGTATGGCGCTCTCAAGCCCGTGCCTTTTCAGTACGCGTGTCAACGTTTCGCCCCTGCTGGGGCTCGTCAGGACTCGAATGAAAATGGCAGCGGCATGCGAACACGGCAAGTGCATGATCGACACAATACTGCGTGCAATGCCATACGGCAAACAAAAACACATGCATGCATGCATGCGGCGATCTCTCAACAGCACCCCTGTGTCGGAGGACTGCTGCCTCTGCCGCCGGGAGGGGCAGCAAGTCGTGCCCCCCCGCCCTCACTTGAACGAAGGATTTGTTGCAATCCTTCGACTGGCAGCGTCGGATCTCGGGCCTGATTGGGGGTTCTCCCTGGTGTAATTTGTTTGTTCTCTCCTGCAAGCCAAGGTTGGCTTGTTCGAGCAATCATACAGCTGCGGAATGCAGCTGTTAGTTCCAGCGGACAGTGCGACGCATGCAAACTAAGTTATGTCTTAATTTGATGTGAGGCGGAGAGGCGCTTATTTACGTTTCTCCCTGGTGTCATTTGCTTGTTCTTCTTCGAATCTGCTCGGACCCCATCTGGGGGGCCTAGAGACCGGCAGCGTCGGATCTCGGGCCGCGAGGCTCCGCTCTCGAAGGCCCGCGCGGGTCTCTCGCGGGCTCTCGGCACCGCCAGGGCGCCGCCTAGGCGGCGGGGCGCGGCGCCGACCCTCCGAGAGGCCCTTCGCGGGCCGCCGGAGGCGGAGCGCTGGAGTGCGCAGCGTCTTGGGTTAGGTCGGGCATGTCTAAAGGGAAATTTGGACACACAAATAAATACACACAAATAAAAATAGTCCCCATATTTTCCAATATTTTCTTGGTTTTTGTCTTCCCCACCACTTCCCATATTTTCCCATATTTTCTGGGAATCGACGATTAATTGTGTCTGTGTGTTTTTTCCCCTCCTGAATGTCCCCCTACAGGTGGATTTTGGACGGAAAATGAAAACATACCCCAAGCATGCCCCCAAATGGTCAAAACATAGTAAGGCAAAATCGTCCCCCGTCTACTTGTTTATACTATTTTTGAATATTCCTCCTGTAGAGGGACCAGCCCGACTTAAATTTTCGGTTATATGTCATCGCTTCGCTCCTTCCGCTGGCCCATGTTGCACCGCTGATGCTGCATGCTGGTGTGCCCATGGGGACTCGATATGGGGAGGAGGAGGAGGAGGAGGAGGAGGAGGAGGACGAGGACTAGGTTGGGCATGTCCCCCTGCAGGCGGGTTTTGGACGAAACATAAAACATACCCAAACATATTCCAAAAATACTCAGAAGCAGTCAACACATCGTCCCCAGACTATGTTTCAAACTATTTCTGACTTTTCCTCCTGTAGAGGGACAGGCCCGACTTGAAGCGAGGACGAGGATGCCTCTCGACGCTTCTTGGGGCACTGTGGACAAGACGCCTCTCTCTGGGAGGCTGTCTGGGGTCTCTTAGGAGCTCCTCTCGGGGGCCTGCCTGTTGGCGGCATTCTGCTGGGGACCTCCCGGGCATCTCTGGCTATTGCTCTTCGATGCTCCCGGGGGCAGGCAGAGCCCCCTTTCGTGAAGCACCCCGGTGAAGACGACCCGGGACCAAACCCGGCGGATCGACTTGGCAGGGTGGGGCGTTCGAGAACCTCCGATCCTTGGACGCCTTGGACTTCTTCGGCGTCGCCTTCTCGCCGGCGACCTGGGCGTGCATGGTCGCGAGCGGCGGCGCCGCGCCCCTGGAGGCCTTGGCCTTCTCCTTCGGCGCCGCCTTCTCGCCGGCCGCACCCTCCTCCTCCTCGTCCTCGTCCTCCTCCTCGTCCTCCTCGGAGGCGTGCGAGGGCTTCTTGGCGCCGTGGCCGCCACTGGCCTCGTCCTCCGTCTGCGGCGGCGGCGCCGGCGCCCCCGAGCAGGTGTTCGCGGAGCCGTCGTTCTCGCCGATGCCGACGTCGGTGCGCGCGCACTGGTGGTAGTAGACCGAGGTCACCACGCACGAGCAGCCCGAGTTGCAGCACGTGGCTCCCGCCCAGCCCTTGCCGCCGCACTGCTGGTAGACCTCGCCGCACACCTGCGTCACCTCGGAGCAGTTCCACGGCGTCTGGAAGTCCGGGGCGTCGTCCTGGTGGATGCCCGGCTCGCAGGACGCCTTGCAGCTCGAGAAGTTCGCGTTCTTCTTGTAGCACTTGAGGTCCGGGTTCTGGCAGCAGGCGGTCTGGGCACAGTTGTCGTTCTCCTTGGAGCACTTCCACAGGTCGGGCGTGACGCACGACCAGGGGGTCTGGAACCCCTCCCCGTCGCCCTCGTGGATGCCCGGCTCGCACTCAAACAGGCACGTGGAGAAGTTCTCATCCTTAGCAAAGCAGGTCTCGTTCTCATTCTGGCAACAGCCTGTCTCCATGCAATTCTCCCCGTGCGGAGAGCATTGGTTGTCCTTTTCGCCCTGTGATGGTGCATAGACAACCGCGTCCGCTGACTCCGCCGCGGCCTGCGGCGTCGCTGGCAAAGACGACAGCAAGACTGCCAGAATGCCAGCCGTGGCAGCGGTTACAGACCACTGCTGCATGGCGGCGCGGCGGGAGGAGTTGGTCTTCGTGTGTGGAAGAGGGGGTCGCACCACCCGCGTTTCAGCCACAGCCTGCTACCGCGGAGGATGAAGAGGAAGAGCTGGACAGGAAGAGGGAGAAAAACAATATGTTAGCCAGAGTGGACCCCAAATGGTAAGCTGTCGCACTGTGGCTGTGGAAACTACGTAGTGCAAAATATGCGGTGCAATGACTGTTTGCCAACACGGGAATTGTCAACTCAAGTGCTCGCGCAATCATCCCACCCTCCCACCCGCAACACGTTCCGCAAAACACATGCGGCCGCGATTGCGATGACTGCTTGGTCCTGGCTGGCACACCTCTACGGCCGCGCCGGCGTCGTCCCCTCGGACTCGCTCTCACACCTCGACGTTCACGGCCAGAGGCTCACTGTGGGACGTGTCAGGCTGGGTAGTCGAAGCCAATCTGGCGCCAATCTGGCAGGCCCAATCTGGCAAACGGGGGCAATCTGGCGAGGGAGCCAACGCGAATCCAGTCTGGCGAATAACCCAAATCATCCAGTCTGGCCAGGCCAGATTGGCCCCTGGGGCCCACTCCAATCTGACAGTCTGGCCTTCGACTACCCAGTCAGGAAATGAGATGCACAATATGGGGACCTCCGCGTCGAGTCATTCTTACTCGATTCTTGGTCTCTCGGATGTGCGGTGCGGCGCGCGGGGCACGCCGCCTTGCGCCCCGGATGCCGTGTTCCGTGGCGCTCTGCACGCCCCACGCTCGGAAGCGGCAGCTGCACACCACCACCGTCGCTGGCGCCAGCGCCGTCCTGAGCCCCGGCACGGTGCCGACGACTGACCATCCTCGACCAGGAAGGTCAGCACAACGCGCTGCGGCCCAGAATGGCCCCGGCCAGGGGTGGTGATGGTGGTGGCGTATAGCTGCCCTCTGCTGGACAGGGCACTTCTTGTGTAGCCCCATCGCTTGTCCCCAACGCATTTCGAAGCGTTCCGCAGCCTTTCGCAGCCCGCTGCCCCCAAGAGGGGCGGAGCGGATGATGGGGGGAAGGAAGAGGACAGGAGTCCCCAGGCGTGTGGGCAAAGGCCAACCCCCCCTCTACGATGCAGGAACTTTTGCATGTCCACCGACTCGGGAACTGACGTCCCAGGATCCCAGGAGGCAGTGTATCATTGAGCCCCCCTGGGGCCCGAAGATGTCCACGCCCGCTGCCTCAAAGGTCCCCTTGGTGATCCGATCTCCAGGCGGTGGATGTTCAAGAGTTCTGGCCTCAGCGCGTGGCCAAGGGTCTCCGCCTCCTCCTCCTCCTCCTCCTCCTCCTCCTCCTCGGTCGCACCTTCAGCCCACCCCCTTGGAGCCGAGATGAGTGAGGAGGGAGAGCGGAAGGGGAGGGGGGGGGAGTGGCGTGTAGGATTGAGGAGGGATCACCAGAAGAAGAAGAAGCAGTGCACAAGAATTAACTTTCGAGTGAAGGTGCGGAATTCGTGGGTCGTCGCTGGACCCCCTCCCTGGCGCGCGGAGCACGGCGCCAGAGGCGCAACCAGGGGGCTGCTTCGATAGAGAGCGTCTCTTTATGTTCGGCGATGACGGGCGTCATGACGTAACGCCCCCCCCCCCCGCCGTGTGGCTCTGGCACCACAGCCGCGCCCGCGCGCACGACGCGACGAGCGACGAGCGACGACAACGACGACGAAGACGACGAGGACGACGCGAGCAGCATGTAGGTGGCGATATGCCCCACTGCGCCTGTGTACACATCGCTGGCGTGCACCACAACGCGCGCGAACATCGCAACACCTGCGCACACCGCAAGAACCGTGTGCAACGCATCGCCTGTGTACACCACAGTGCTTGCACACACACTACAGCGCCTGTGTACATGCGTACACCGCAGCAAACCATGTGCAACAGAGCGCCTGTGCACACCACAATGCTTGAGTGCACCGCAGCGCCTGTGCACGCCACAGCGCCTGTCTACACCACAGCATCCACGTGCAACGCACCGCGACTGTACACCACAGTGCCTGTGTGCAGGACAGTGCTGATAATCGAATGCGGCGTTCTTCCCTTTTCCCTCCTCCTCCACCTCCACCTCCACCTCCTTCTCCTAATCCTCCTCCTCTTCCTCCTCCTCCTCGTCCTCTTCCTCCACCTCCTCCTCCTTACGCCCTGTCGTGCGGGGTGGCGCTACAGCGCACGTGCGCAATTCAGCGCGCACTGCACCGCATAATGGTCTATTGCATCGGTCCAGTTGGTTCTCGGACGGCCAATTGAATTGGATATTCCTGGACGCAGATAGGAGAAATTAGGGTGATGGGGGCGGACTCGGGAGAACTCGTAGATTCCAGCGGCGCTCCTTTGTCCATAAGGATTCATTTGTATTGTTTTCTGTGGAATCCACAAGCGCTTCAGTTTGTCAGAAGGATTCCTTCTAACATTATATATATATATATATATATATATATGCAAGTGTGGCGCTGTGTTGCACACGGTTGCTGTGGTGCACACAGGCGCCGTGGTGCACACAGGCACTGCAATGCACGCAGGCATGAAGGTGTACACTGGTGCTGTGTTGCGCACGGCTGATGTGGTGTACGCAGGCGCTGCGGTGTACACAACAGCTGTTGTGCCTGCGAGCACGGTGGCACAAACTGACGCTGTGTTGCACGCGGCTGCCGTGGTGTACGTAGGCGGCGTGGTGTACACAGGCGCTGTGGTGCACGCAGCCACTGTGGTGTACACAGGCGTTGTGGTGCAGATCGACACCCACATGCTGGTGCTACCCGTCCTCGGTCCTTCCGAAGCATTCCCAGACGCCGCCGGCGCGAAACATGCTGTCATCGACCCCCCCCCACCCCCCCCGGATGATTGCCGTGATCGGCCCGGAACAAATAACAGGATCCAGCCGCGTCCGCGCGCACGACGACGATGAGCGACGAGCCACGAGCGATGACGACGACGACGACGACGACGACGACGACGAGACTCCTATGCGGATTCCTGCGCGGAAACCTACGCGGATCCCAGCGCGCACGGCGGCAGTGCCCGGAGCGCACCGGGGGGGGGGGTACGTCAGGGGGGGGTGCGGGGGCCATGACGCCCGTCATGCCCAAAGCAAAAAAGAAATGGTCTCATAGCTGATGCAGTTGTTTGCATGTATATCCTTCTCCTTCTTCTTGTTCGAGAGAGAGAGAGAGAGAAAGGAACATTAGCCTGGCGAAGAATCCAACCAGATGCAGTTGTCAGTACCACAGCTGCGGGTTTCATCTTCAATGGAACTCCCCATAGGACTACGGAACGTGTGAGGGGTGTGCCGAGATGGGTGCCACTGGGGCATTCGGCGAAGCTCCCTGTGGGGACGTGAAACACGCGCGGGGCGTGCCGACATGGGTGGCGGAAACGCATGTGCGGGCCGCCACTGGGGCCTCCAGTGGAGCTCCCTATGGGGCCCCGAAACATGATGCTGCTGCGGGGGTGGGAGCCGGGATGGGCGGCGGAAACGTATGTAAGCGCCGCTACTGGGGCCTTCGGTGGAGCTCCCTATGGGGCCACGAAGCGCGTGAGGGGTGTACTGGGATGTGTGGCGGGGACGCATGTGAGCGCCGCCGCTGGGGCCTTCGGTGCAGCTTTCCATGGGGCCACGAAACGTTTGATGGCTGTGCCGAATTGGGTGCGGGTGGTGACGCATGCGGGCGGTGCCACTGGCCACGAAACCTGTTGTTGTGAGGGGCGTGCCGGGATGGGTGGCGGGGACGCATGTGAACGCGGCCGCTGGGGCCTTCGGTGGAGCTTCCTAGGGGGCCACGAAACGTGTGAGGGGTGTGCCGAATAGGGTGGGTGTGGGTGACGCATGTGAGCGCCGCCACTGGGGCCTCCGGTGGATGATGGGGCCACGAAACCTGTCAGGGATGTGCCGAAATGAGCGTGCGGGACGCATGCGCATGTGAGCGCCGCCACTTGGGCCTTCGGTGGAGCTCCCTATGGGGCCACGAAGCGTGTGAGGGGTGTGCCGAATTGGGTATGCGTGACGCATGCGGGCGGCAGCACTTGGGCCTTCGGTGGAGCTCCCTATGGGGCCACGAAACGCGTGAGGGGTGTGCCGATTGGGTGTGCGGGACGCATGCGGGCGGCAGCACTGGGGCCTTCGGTGGGGCTCCCTATGGGGCCACGAAACGTGTGAGGGGTGTGCCGAATTGGGTGTGCGGGACGCATGCGGGCGGCAGCACTGGGGCCTTCGGTGGGGCTCCCTATGGGGCCACGAAACGTGTGAGGGGTGTGCCGAATTGGGTGTGCGGGACGCATGCGGGCGGCAGCACTGGGGCCTTCGGTGGGGCTCCCTATGGGGCCACGAAACGTGTGAGGGGTGTGCCGAATTGGGTGTGCGTGACGCATGCGGGCGGCAGCACTGGGGCCTTCGGTGGGGCTCCCTATGGGGCCACGAAACGTGTGAGGGGTGTGCCGAATTGGGTGTGCGGACGCATGCGGGCGGCAGCACTGGGGCCTTCGGTGGGCTCCCTATGGGGCCACGAAACGTGTGAGGGGTGTGCGAATTGGGTGTGGGGACGCATGGGCGACGGTGGGGCTCCCTATGGGGCCACGAAACGTGTGAGGGGTGTGCCGAATTGGGTGTGGGTGACGCATGCGGGCGGCAGCACTGGGGCCTTCGGTGGAGCTCCCTATGGGGCCACGAAACGTGTGAGGGGTGTGCCGAATTGGGTGTGGTGACGCATGCGGGCGGCAGCACTGGGGCCTTCGGTGGAGCTCCCTATGGGGCCACGAAACGTGTGAGGGGTGTGCCGAATTGGGTGTGCGGGACGCATGCGGGCGGCAGCACTGGGGCCTTCGGCGGAGCTCCCTATGGGGCCACGAAACGGTGTACTGGGTGGGTGAAGAGGAGAGGAGGAGAGGAGGAGAAGAGAGGAGGAGAGGAGAGGAGAGGAGAGGAGGACGCGGGGACCGTCTCTTCAAAACGAGGACCCAACACCACAGGATGGTTGGGAAAAAAAGG